TTTGAAATCTGGACATTCATTTTCAACATGAAATAAGAAATACTCCATATATCATATATGAAAATCTCTGTTCAAGTTTTACCACATGAAATTGAATATTACGCATATCACGTATGAAAAGATGTCTCCACCAAGATTTAGAACTTCTATATTTCAGATGGCAAAATCTGTGCAACAATGTGACTAACAAATGCCTGAAAATCCGTATATTTTGTATATGAAATTAACAATGATGATGTTAATAAATTAAATATAGAATTCTTTACATTTTTCATATGAAAACAATATTGATGAGTTTATCCCATGATATATTGAATGTTCTGTATTTCACTTAACAAAATCTGGATGCTGATTTTCTTACATGAAATGTGTAGTTCTTTATTTGCTGAATGTGAAAATCTGGCTGTGATTTTCTTACATTAAATACAGAATTCTTTATTTTTCACATTGTAAAATGATGGCATTGGTTTGGTTTTCTTAAGATGCAGAGAACGTGGTTCAGTCTTGTCAGACTGTTTCTAAGAATCTGTCCATTTCTCCCAGATTATTTACTTTATTGCCATATTGTTGTTCACAATAGTCTCTTTTACTCCCTTGTATTCCTGAATTTTCTGTTGTAATCTCTCCTTTTTCATTTCTAAGTTTGTTAATTGTTCTCTCCTTTTTCCTTGATGAGTCTGGATGAAGGTTTCTCAATTGTGTTAATCTTCTCAAAGAACTGGCTTTTAGTTTTATTTTTTTTAAATATTTTCTATTATTTCTTTCATTACTTTCTGATTAATTTCTGCTAAGATCTTGATGGTTTGCTTTCTTTTATACTAATATCAGAAGTGCTGTTGCTGTTGTTGTTGTTTTTCTTATTATTATTTTTCCAGCTGTTTTAGGTGTATAATTAGCTGTCTATTAAATGTTTTTATTTTTTCTTGGGGTAGGACTGTAGTGCTGTAAACTTTCCTCTTAGAACTGCATTTGCAGGATCTCACAGATATTGGTTTGTCGTGTTTTCATTGTTGTTTGTTTCTAGAAATTTGTGGATTTCCTTTTTGAATTCTTCAGTAACCTGATGGTTATTTAGAAATGAGTTGGTTCATCTTCACGTGCTTGTACTTCTTACAATTTTCTTTCTTGTAGTTGACATTCAGGTTCATAGCTTTGTGGTTGGAGATGTTTGATGTGGTCTATCACAGAGAGCGTTCCATTGCAAATGAGCAGGAGATGTGTTCTTCTGCATTTGAATAGAATGCCATGAATATATAAATGAGATCCATCGAATCTAATGCATCATTGAAGACTTCTGCTTCCTAATTAATTTTCTGTTTTGATGATCTGCCCATTGGTGTGAAAGGAGTGTTAAAATCTCCTACTGTTATTGTGTTACTGTCAATTTGTCCTTTTACATCTGTTAATGTTTGTGTTATGTATAGGGGTGCTCCTGTATAGAGTGTATAGATATGTACAATTGTTATGTCTTCCTCTTGGATTGATCCAGGAAGAAATGGAAATTATGAATGACCCAATTACAAGCAATAAAATCAAAGCTCTGATCAAAAATCTCTGAAAAACAAAAACCCAGGAAACAGAAATCTTCACAGGAGAATTCTATGAAACATTTAGAGAACAGCTAATGTCTACCATTTGAAACTTATTTCAAAAATTTCAAGGAAGTAGCACTTCCAGACTCATTACACAGGCTGCCATCACCCTCATACCAAAACCAGAAAAAAAACAAGGCCACAAATGGAGGAAAAAAAAAGAATGAAAGAAAGAGAAGGAAAAACTACAGGCCAATAACACTGCAGAACATGGATGGAAAAGTCCTGAACAAAACTTTAGCAAACAGAATTCAGCAGCACAACAAAAATCTCATACACCATGATCAAGTTGAGTTTATTCCAGGGATGCAAGAATTTGTTAATATATGCAAATCAAACAATGTGATACACCACTTAAAAATTGAAAGATAAAAAACATACGAGAATCTCAATAGAAGAGGGAATATGCTTTGCTAAAATTTAGCATCCATTTATGATGAAAATTCTTCATAAATGGGGATATAAGGAATCTAACTAAACAATGAAAAGTCCATATATGATAAGCTTACAGCAAACATTATTCTCAATGGTGAAAAACTGAAAGCTTTCCTCCTAAGATCAGGAACAAGACAAGAGTTTTCACTCTCACCCCTATGATTCAACGTATCTCTGAAAGTTCTACCTACAGTAATCAGAGAAGTTAAAGTAATTAAAGCAATCCAGATTGGAAAAGAAACAAAGGCCTCACTGTGTTCAGATGATCTGATACTATACATAGAAAACCCTGAAGATAGTATCAGAAAATTACTAGAGATAATCAGTGAATTTAGCAAAGTTGTAGGATAGAAAATGAATAGAGAGAGATCTCTTTCACTTTTATATTATAACAATAGCAAATCAGAAAGAAAAATTGGGGAATCGATCCCATTGACCTTTACCCAAAAAGAATTGAATATCTAGAAATAAATTTACCTAAGGAGACTAAAGCAGTGAACACAGAAAATTATTAGTCTAACGAAAGAAATGAAAGATGACAGAAACAGACGAAGATAAATTCCATGTTCCTGAGTAGGAAGAAGCAATATTATGAAAATGATTATCTATAGTAATGGCAGTATATAGAAAGTGCAATCTATAGATTCAATGAGATCCCATTAAATTTTCAAAGGCGTTTTCACAGAAATAGAATAACAACAAAATATCACAATTCATATGGAAATTGAAAAGACCCTCAAATAACCAAAGCATTCTTGAGAAACTACAATGAAGTCAGGTGAAGCAACCTTCCTTACTTCAGCTTAAACTACAAAGCTACAATCTGCAAAAGAGAATGGTACTGGTACAAAACAGAAATATAGATCAATGGAACAAGATATAAAGCACAGAAATATAACCATACACTTATGCATACCTTATTGTTGACAAAGGTGAAATTAATATACATTGGGGCAAAGACAGCCTCTTCAATAAATGGAGTGGTGAGAAGAGGACAACTACTTATAAAACAATGAACCCTCCTAACACCATAAAGAAAATATGAAAATGGATTAAAAGCCCAAATGTAAGACCAGAAACTCTAAAAATCTTACAGGAACACATAGGCTAAACATAGGCAAGAACATATATGACCCACCTCCAAGAGTAAGGTAAATAAAAACAAAAGTAAATAAGTGGGACCTGATTAAATTTACAAGCTTTTGCACAGCAAAGGTAACTATAAGTATGGTGAAAAGAAAGCCTGAGGATAGAGAATATAACAGCAAATGAAACGACTGACAAATGATTAATTTTCAAAATTTACAAGCACCTCATACAACTCAGTACCAGAAATAACCCCATCAAAAAGTGGGTTAAAGACCTAGAAAATTCTCCAAGAATATATACAGATGGCTAACAAACACATGAAAAGCTGTTCAACAATGGCCATTACTAGAGAAATGCAAATGAAAACTAACAATGAGAGAGCACCTTACACTTCTAATTTTGCTGTGAATGCAAATTGATACAACTCCCATGGAAGATAGTATGGGGATTCCTTAAAATCTAACAGTAAACAACCATATGACACAGAAGCCCCACTCCTAGACATCTACCATGAAGAAATGACAACTGAAGTAGACACTGTGAGGCTGTCATGACTAACGCCATGACAGGCAGCCTAGTTAGGAGTGGGCTTAGTTTCCCGGATAACATAATTATCAGGCCTCCTGAAGCTAGCCAATCAACATGTGCCTAGCAAGAAAAAGGGAACCTATCAGAGGAAAGCTGAAAGCCCCACGTTAGGCCAACAAAAATTGCCTTGCAACTGTGTAACCAATCCTCTTGGGCCAACTACGCACTGTGTAACCAATCTGCTTGCGCCAACTACCTGCTGCTTTTTTTGACCTAATAAATACCCAAGAGAACTGGGGCTCAGGGCCTTTTTGTCCTCACACCCTTGGTGAGGGCAGGAGGCCCTGGCTCCAAGCAGTAATAAATTCCCCTATTGCAAGTTACATTGTTTCGAGGAGTCTTCTTTCTTGACCAGGGACTGGAACTATGGGCAGAACAGACACATGTATATCATTGTTTACTGCAGAACTATTTACAAGAGTTAGAACATGGATACAACCTGGATGTCTATCAACAGATAAATGGATAGAGAAGTTGTGCGGTATATACACAAAGGAATATTACTCAGCCATAAATAGGAACATATTTAAATCAGACCTAATGAGGTAAGTGAAGCATGAAACTATTACACAAACTGAAATGAGTCTTAAATAGAAAGATAAATACTGTATTCTAATGCATATATATGGAAACTTGAAAAATGGTACTGAAGCAGTTATTTACAGGTCAACAATAGAGAAAAAGAGAAATAATATATTAAAAGACAGGACAGAAGGGAAGCGAGGTGAGATATATGAAAAGAGTAACATGGAAACTTGCCTTACTATATGTAAAATTGTTACCCAGTGAGAATTTACTGTATGGATCAGAAAACTCAAACAGGGCCTCTGCATCAACTTAGAGGATGGGATTGGGATGGTAAAGGGTGGGAGGTTCAAAAGAGAGTGAATATACCATAAACCTATCATCAATTCAGGTTGAAGTTTGACAGAAAACAGAAAAATTCTGTAAAGCAATTATATCTATTTCACAAAAGAAAATCGGGCACCACCGTTTCTTTATGAAATACGGGATTTTTATGTTCCTAGCCAAAGATAATAAGAATTAGCGCCTCAAGGAGCAGCCCAGAGCTCACCATTATACTTTTATACTTGTGTATATTAAGTATAAAATAATGACGTTACAACAAAGGAGTTTTGTAGTTATTTATTTGAAAGTTACAGTACTTCAGAACTCCTTGGCAATAAATATCTTGTCTGTCTCAAGTCCTACTTCAGATAGGGAGCACCGTACGAGCCTGGCCCAGGCCGTGAGGTCCGGGGCCGCGCTCCCTGGTGACGTCGGCCGGCAGGACAGTCAGAACTCGTCGATCTTGCTCTTCACATACTTGAGCATGGAGTCCATGACCTGTGCGGGGCCCCATATCTTCTTGAGCACCTCACACTCTCGCCTATTGGCTTGGTCCAGCTCCAGCCTCATGTTACAGTGCACAAGGGCCTTGGATTCCTCCAGCACGAAAGGGTTGCAAGAGGCGAGCTCCTTGATGCGAGCATGACTGCCTGGATGAAGGTCCCAGGCCAGAACACCTGTGAGACCAGCCATTGGTCACACGTCTCCTGTGCCGATAGCTTCCGCCCTCTCAGCAGCATTCCGTTGGCAGATGCTTCTCCCATAATCTTGGGGAATATGACGGTGGAACAACCGTCTGGACTCTCTCCGAAGGTGGTATAGGACGTCTGGAACCATGCCTTTTCATTGGCCCAGACGACATCACAGAGAGGCAGGATGGATGCTCCTAGCCCAATGGCCGGGCCATTCACAGCTACGACATTAGGCTTCTTGAACTGGATGCAAGTGTTCACGAAGTTTCTGATGGCCTTGGCCATCCTGGCGCTCTCCCTCTTGTGGTCATCCGGCAGGCGCTGAATAGAGTAAAGGAAAACCAGGCCACAGCAGAAGACGCTGCCCAGGGCACTGAGCAGCACCAGCTTGCTGTCATCGGCGTCAGCTATGCTCAGCATGCTCTGGAGCTCCTTCATCACCACTGAGCTCAGTGAGTTGTGCTAAGACGACTTGCTGGACAGCAGGATGTGGGTAAAGCCATCCTGCTTCCGGACCACTATGTCCCAGTACCTGTAGGCACTATCCCTCTGCCGCATGCTGAAGCGCAGCCGCTTGGAAAAGGGCTGGTCTCTGCTGTCCTTGATGAACTTCCTCTTCCCAGCTTTCATGCCCATGACTGACGTCTTCAGGGGGCTCGTGCAATTGGTCGTCAGCGCGGCCATGAACCGGGAAGGGCCCTTCCCGTTTACGGCCAGCCCCATGGACGTGGCGGCCTTCACGGGCCCAACGCCTGTGGCAAAAACGGGTGTATCCGGGGCCGGCTCCCCATCAGCACTGGCTCCACCCCAGGCTCAGTAGGGCCCCGATTGGCTTCTCGGCCACCACTTTTGCGGCTGCTGTGTCCTCCGGCCCCTGCTCCATGGGGTCCAGCTTCTCTGGGCTTTCGTCATGAAAGCCGTCCAGCACAGTGACACTTTTTATGTGGCTCTCGGGCATGGGAATCCTGTTTCCCGACCAAGCCTCGTCCATGTTCCTGAAGGTGGTCAGGCCGAGCCCTGGACTACTCTGGAACTTCTGGCTGGCGGTAAACAGCAGGCTGCTCTTGGCCTCGTGCTCCTTGCCCACCACTAGGGCCTTGGGGGTGGCCTTGGAGAAGCAGCTGTTGGTGGATCTGGAGGTCTGCTTCTGGCCATTGTTTGGGGAGGTCCGCTTGGCTCTGGTGAAGATGCCCTCCTTTGGCTTCTTGATGTGGTGCCGGCTGAAGTCATGGATGCACTCCTCACAGTTCACCAGGTGTTACTCTGGCTCGCAGCTGGGTCCTCTCTGCCTTAGCCTTTCCAACGAACCAAATACTCCATCTTCCCTTTCTTGTTTTGCCTCTTGTCAACAACCATTACAACCTCATACATCTCCTTGGATGCCATGGCACCCACCACAGGGCAGGGCCAGTGAGGCCACCCTGGTCATTTTGAAGACTCCCAGTGGTCTGCTCCAGATCCCCTGAATACCCCTATACATAGGGGACCACACCCTTATGATTATGAGGACACGAAGTCCATTCCCCAGCTAATGGCAGCCTTCCCCCAGCCTTGGAATCACAAAGCCTCATCCTGAGAACTCTGAGGATGTATAGGGAGCAACTCAGTTGAGTTGCTTGAAGAAATGAGGCATTTTTCTTCATCCAAAACAGCCCGCCAAACTCACCTGCCATCCTCATCTCTCTACGTCAACACAGATGGGCCACATGGCATGGACAGTGTGTCTCCTCCAAACCTTCCCTCACAGCCAGGTTTCAGCCTTTCATTTGAGTCTCTCTCATGTTACATTATTATCTACTTTTTCTTTTCTTGCCACAAAACCTTCCATGATGACTTGGCTGTGCACATGAGAATAACTTCACTTTCCTCATACAACTGATAGGAGGAAATGCACCTTGAAGGCCATTCGATTCTGGGCCACTTATGAAAAACCTTTTCTACTCCACCTCCTTTTCTCAGTCTTCATCTTGCTCTCCTCAGTTTTCTAGTCTCCAGTCTAAAACCCCTGCCCTCAACTGTGAGAATGCCCTGAATACATACACTTGCTCTGGCTCTACTTGGCACTGTCTTGTTTCAATTCGAGGAATAATAGTCACCTCCCCAGATGCAATACCCAGCCTTGGGTTTAACATGGTGATGCGGATGTGGCAGACAAATGCATGCTTGGGGTTGTGCTGGATGACCCCAAGAAGGAAATGACTGGAGCGACAGGCGAGTATTCCCTGCAAAAAAGGGGTGTAGCTTTCCCTGTGGTGTGTGAGACTCACATGCACAGGTCTTCTCAAAATGTGCCCTCACAAATTCCTTCTCATCCTGTTTTCCCTGAAGAAGCTCCTTTGGGTGTCTCCTCATGGTTGAGACCATGGTGGAATTTGTTTCCATGAACAGCTATCACAAACGTCCAGCCTCTTGGAGGAAACACAAGTAATCATGCCTACCCATCTAGTTTGCAAGGTCTCTTTTTGAGGTTGTTGGCTCTGGAGGATAGAGGAATGAGTTGTGTGCTTCACCATAATCTCTCTGTTCCTAATGGACTAGCAGGGTCAGCCAGCCTGAGATGTACCCCTGGGGGGCAGTCTTTGTTGACATAGTGGGATTTCCTGTGGTTTCCATGAGGTGCTGTCTTCCTGCAGTGCACTGGTTGCTTAGTCACGTAGGACAAACCTGAATGTTCAGAGCAGTCTTATTTCTAACAGTCAAAAAGTTGAGAAGAACAAGATGGTGGAGGTGGAGGGGTACAGGGAGTACATCTCTCTCCACAGATCCATCAGGAATACACCTTCCGACACAAGTGCTTGCAGAACCTCAGCTGAGACCAGACAGGACCACCTGAACAGAGGAAAAGAATAGATGAAACCACAAACAATCAGGAGGATGAAATAACTAGTGGGTGTGGAGAGGAGACATGTGGGTTAGTAGGACTGGACCTGCCCTCAGATGTTGGGAGACCTGAAATAGGTGTCTGATCTCCACATGGGAGCAACTGTCTGTATCAGAGGAGAAACACTTAAGGCTGAGAGGGAAACAGCTGGTCTGTGGCAGCTCAGAGGGGACGAGAATGAGACAGTCCTTTCCACAGCCATTCAAACCCCAGAGAGGGACACAGTTCCTGTAGAATGTGCAGGAGGAAGCAGATGGTTCATAGGGATTTTGGAGAAATCCATTTCCATGGTCTGCTACCTACTGGTTCAAGACAAATTGATGGGATGTTCCAATGAGGAGATCGTGTGCAAAAAGCCTGTGCAGGTAATCCAGGCAGCCATGGGAGGAAGGTGACACTGCTGAGTCATGTATAGAGGGTGGAGCCATGGGGACAGCCTCTCTTTCCCCACACGCCTGCACCACAGCTGAATAAAAGAGAGGTTGGCCCATCAAGCACTTGAATCACTGAACTACAGACTAAGACTCCACCCAGGCACCTTTAAGTGCCTGATGCTCCAAATGACAGAGTAGGACCCCAGCCTGGGGGGCCCCCTCTATGTGCCTGACACGCTGAACAACAGAGAATGACCCCAGCAAGGAAAGCCCTTGAAGGGCCTGAAGGCATGGGTCTATGGACAAAGACTAGCCAAAGAGGCCTTCTGATTGCCAGCTACAATAGGCTCAAATAAAAATTCTGACAGTGCTTTAATTACTGCAGTGGAGGCAGTCGAAATCCCTGTACACGTGGCACTGCCAGTGTCTCTGCAAACCAAGGAACTGTGTCGTCTTCATGCTCAACTCTCACTCGGCAGCGCTGCCATGGTCAAAATACTCATCCATCTCTGCTCTGAGCTTCGCTTCAGGATTGTCAGATCCCCTTCTTCCCTGGAGACTGTAGCAGGATTCTCTATCAGGGAGGGGATTATCCATGCAGGAGTCCTGGTGTGTATTTGCCAATACGGATTGCGATGCCCTTTTAGACCACTATATTACCCGCTGTCCTTATTGCCAATCCACTGAGTATCCGGCGCTTGCCAGAACCTCTGTGACCCAATCTGTTGCACCACCTCCACTCCTGGCTCTCAATAGGGCAAACCCAAGAACTACAGGTCAACCTCAGGAGCAAACCCCTGTGGACAAAAAACATGCAGAGATGGAAGTAAAACCCCAATTGAAACTCAGCATCAGTGTAGCTAATGAAGAAGAGCCAGAACCTCCCTACCAAGTGTACAAACTGCAGATTAAATCCACGCTATCATCTAGGAAGACTCTGTGTCTATGGAATATATAAATAAGTCATTGAGAGACCCCACCTGCAAACCAACCACCCAACCAACAACAACAAAAACAAAAGAAAACGCACTAGTTCTGAGATCTGTGGAAGGAAGAACACAAATGATCTGGACCAGATTAGAATATAAGTGCCCCATCATCAGGTCCAGAGATCAACACAGTGATGAAGGGTACCCAAGGGAGTGAGGTGGTCTGTGAATTCAAGTGAGGAAAAGGACTCTAACACCAGTGTCTCAAGATAAATGTATATTATTCTTCTGTTTTGACATGATCTGTAGATACATTTGGATTTTTTTTTTCTTTCTTCATGCCCTCACCACCACGGCAGTAGTTGTCAATGTTATTGTCAATATGAAATCCAATGAAGCTTTTAATTTTTTTTTGTTTGTTTTTCCTTTGTGACAACTTTAATCCTGTTATAAAACTTTTTGTCTATATTCGGCTTTTGCAGTTATGTAGAATAATATTTTCATTCTTTTTTCTTTGTTTCTCTCAGTCTTCTTTAAATTTAATTTGACAGTTTTTAATCCCCTTAATTCTGTTATCAACATTTCTTCCTCTGTTTGTTTCTCATCCTCTATTCCCCCCCCCCTTTCTAGTTAATCTTTACCTAAAATATCATCTTTTCTCTCTCTGTTTAAGATTTCATATCTATCCTTTTCTCTTTCCTCTCAAAATATCTGTTCAATTTATTTTAACTGTCTTATTCCCCAACTAGATCCTAGGTCTAGTTTGTTTTCCCATTTGAGCTTTAGGTAGTTTTCTTCTTGTAGATAAACTTTTGGTTTCCTTTGTTCATTCTGTCAATTTGATGATGATTATTTTATTTTATTTTCATTTTAAAACTATGTCTATAAGTTGGTCTTTTGCTGCTCTGTAGAGTTTATTTTCTACTTTTCATTGTCTTCTTCCAGTCCCCCCACTTATTATATATTTATTTATTTGTTTATTAAAACTATTGCATGTTTTCTACATCAATTCTTTCCGTTGCATTTCCTACACTTATTTTCACCTTATGGTGAATCTTTATATGTATAAATCTTCATCTTCTTCTTTACCATTTCATATCTATGCTTTGTTTTCTTTATTTACTTTCTTATCAGCTTCTGGTACTCAGCCCTGCTGAAGTCCAGGTGTTCCCTTCGGATAAACAGTGTCTGTATAAGTATAGAAAACCGAGTCCAGTCTTGGTTGAGTGCAGAATCAAGACTACTTTATTCTTTCACATCAGTGCTTATGTACCCTAAAATCAAAAATCCTTTAAAGATCTTTAAGGAAGGGGCAAGGATAAATAGTACCAGGTGAACAATCATGGGTGACATCAGAAATAACTTTCCAGATCAGTCAATACCTACACATAACTTCTCAACATTTCAATGGCAGCAGATAGTCAACTGTGAAAAGCCATCTAAAAATCTTATCTTGGGAGGCTCAGGCCCGGGCTGACTTAGCTCTGGTAAGTAATCCTCAGGGTCAAAATTCTCAGTAATCCCATGCTGGTCAAACACTAAGGAATCTTCCCAATCTTTTAATGGACTCTATTGACATTTGCTTATGAGGTATATAGACCTGTTTATTAGGACCCATGTGCCCCCATGGACTGTGTTGCTGCCATGCAAAGAGGGATTTGAAGTAAGAGTCAGACCAGTTTTTTGGGAACCTAGAAGAACGTCAAGCATCAGAAGATGCAAGGCGGAAGGCATAGGAGTTGATTTTGGGGCAATCCCCAGAAACCTCCAGAGGTCGGGATGATTCATGTGTGGAGCTGTCCTGGGGGTCCGCACAACATTGCGTACCAGCTCCTTGAACACAGACCGTGTCACAGCCGGGGTTTCTCTCTCCGGCTCCCGATATCTCCCTGTTTATTTCTTAAGACAGTAAAATGAAGTTCAGTCGCAACACTTTGAATTCTGTGCAGTAAACTTTTAACAAAACAAGGAAGAAAAAGTATGACGAGTAAGGCCATGGCAACCATAGCAACACAGCTTATTAAGCTGGTGACAAA